ACACACACACACACACACACACACACACACACACACACACACACACGCACACACACAACGTTATATAAGGGTTGGGGATTTAGCCCAGTGGTTCCATTGCCTGCCTCTTAAGCACAAGGTCCCAAATTCAATCCCCAGGACCAAACAAAACACAAAAAACGAAAACAAAAAAGAATCACAACATCCAGAATCTCTTACCAAATGGTCCCAATACAGAAATTTCTCCTAAGACTGACAAAATAGAATCAAATTACTACATATCTGAAGATGTTTACTGTAATACTATTCAGAATAGCAAAAATGATTGCACTAAAGGAGTAACAGTCGGGGCCAGAGATTTAGCTCAGTGGTTCTGCTGTCTGCCTCGAAAGCACAAGGACCCAAGTTCAATCCCTGGTACCAAAAAAAAAAGGAGTAACAGTCTACTCTCTAGACAACTTATCTGACAGAAAGAATATTAAAAATGGACAAAACGTGACTCCAATGGGAACACTCAAAATTCGACAATGGCATCAATTCAAGGACAGGCAAGGAGCGGAGCACAGGACTGGGGTGTGGCACCAAGGGAGACGCTCACCTCACCCATATCGGGCCCTGGGCTCATCCCAGCACCACAGAACACAGCAAACCAAATGTAACATAACATGCAGTAAAGGAACATAATGATAAACACATGGCTGATTTTTAATAATTTTTAAAAATTAAAAATGTATTCTGTACTTTTAAACACATACAAAAAATAGAAAAAACAGAATAACAAATATCCATGTACATACCAGTTAGATTCATTAACATCTTGCCATATATGCTTCACACAAACACACACTTAACTAAACCACTTCAAAATATTTACACACACTAACATGTCACTCAATACTCCAGGATACAAATTAGACAATCTTCCATAAGCAACAACACCTTTATCACAGCTCATAAGGTGAGGCATAATAATCTAATATTGAAAATCCAGTCTATATTCAATTTGTATCCAGATTCCCCACCCCAAGGCTTTTACAGATGGCTGAGTCCAATCAAGGACCCCACACTGGAAGTCGGGGTGCTTAGGAGTGGGGGTGTAGCTCAGCGACAGAACTTGTGCTTAGGTAGAGTGTGCAAGGCCCTGGTTTTGATGTCTGCCACCTCAAAAAAAATAAAAACGACAAGAAAAGAAAATAAAGATCCCACATTGCACAGGGCTATATATGATGGCTCTTCACTTTTAATTGAGAATAATTAGTTACCCACTCACTGCCTTTATTCTTTCCCAACAACACTGGAAGAGGTTAGGACACTTATCTTTTAAAATTTCAGTCTAGACCTGTCTGAGCCTTTCTTAAGCAGTGTCCTTTAACTTGTTGCTCTATCCTCAGTATTTCCTGCAAAGGGAAATTAGGTCTTAGGGCTTGAGTACAGTCCAGTTAAAACTTTTTGATGAGAACACTTCATACGCAATGCAGTGCATTTCAAAATGTATCACAAGTAAGTGTGCCTGCTTGTCTGCTTGTTTGGTGTCATAAGATCCTTTTCTGCAAAAGTGTGTTTTCCCACATCTGCAAGTATTGGTGAGACAGTATTCTGACACCAAGAGAATTTGAGTGGGGACATAGTTCAACTTTTTATCCAAGTTTTGGCATCAAAAAGTTTTTAATAGGGCCGGGGATTTAGCTCAGTGGGTCGGCTGCCTGCCTCAAAAGTGCAAGATCCTGAGTTCAATCCCCAGTACCAAAAAAAAAAAGTGTTTAATAGGGCTTTACATTAGCTTTTCAACTTTTTAATATTTCAACTTTTAAATGTTCAAAAACATTTGTTTTCTACCAACCAAAAAAAAACCACCATTTTTTTTTTGAGACAGGGTCTCACTATGTAGTTCAGGCTGGCCTTGTGCTTACTATGTGGCCCAGCCTAGGAACAAACTCATTGTAATCCTCCTGCCTCAGCCTCCTGAGTGCTGGAATTACAGGCCTGCATCACTACACCTGGCTCCAATCATAAAATTTAAACAAAAGATTCACTTATAATGATGCCATACTTACTCAGTTAAAATGTGAGCCCCTCCCTTCTTTTTGATTTTGTCTGAAACCCTGTAAAGAAAACAAAATAAATAGTTAAAAGAATAGCCAACACCAGAATAGCCAAAGCAATCCTGAGCAAAAAGAGCAAGGCTGGAGGGTTCACAATACTCAATTTCAAAGAATCCTACAAAGCCATAGCAACAAAATAGCACTGTTCTGCCACAAAAAGACATGGAAACCAAGAGGACAGAAGAGAGGACACTGAGACAAATCCACACCACCAGTCATCTGATTCTTGACAACGGACCAAAAGCACATGGGAAGAAAGCCTCTTCAGCAAACAGCTAGGAAAAGCAGGTATCCTAAGGAATATTAGCAGCTCCCTGCACACTTTCGCTCACTGTGGCGCAATCTGTAAGAGTAAGGATGGAGCCAGCCCAGGTGCCCGGCAGTGGAGGGGCAGATAGAGAAGGCATGGACAGCGCACACTTGGGGACTCTACAGCCATGAAGAGTAATAGTCATGTCATGTGCAGGAAGACAGATGGAACAGAGAGCAAGGTGCGAAACGAAACAAGCCCATCTCAGAAACAAGAAGGGTGTTTTTTCTAACATGCAGACTCCAGAAACAGGCAGCATAAGGTAGAAAGGGGCTGCTGTCTGACAGGAGGAGGAGCGGGGGAGGCAGGAGCAGGTGGAAAGGGATATGTGCGCATGGGTGTGAATGGAACGTGTTACATGCATTTATGAAGATAAAATTTTAAAAAAGAAAAACAGAAAACGAAAAACAAAGATGTAAGTAAATCACAGAATATGCAGTTTCCTATTTTTTTTCTGGTACCAGGGATCAAAGTTGGGACCTTGCGCTTGCGAGGCAGGCGCTGGAACCACTGAGCTAAATCCCTGGCCCACAGTTTCCTATTTTATAATCCAATGTTTAAAAAGTTAAATGTTAAAAATTAGTAAGCCAGGGCTGGGAATTTAGCTCTGTGGCATGGTGCCTGTCTTGCAAGCGCAAGGTCCTGAGTTCGATCCCTGTTATGGGGCAGGGTGGGGCAGAGGAATTGTCACTCACCATGTAATAGCCAGTGTGATAGCCACTCATGTACCATGACATCAGCATGCTGCCTAGCGCGTCTGCATCATCGAACGAGTCTGGACAGATAGGAGGTGGTGGGGGGATCATCTGCAAATGGAAAAGAGTATATAAATATATATATATTTTTTGGTACCGAGGATCAAACTCCTTGCGCTTGTGCAGCAGGTGGTGAAACCATTGAGCTAAATCCCCGGCCCCGTATAAATACTTTTTTGGGTTGTTTTGTTTTTTGGATACAGGGTCTTGCTGTGTAGTTCAGGCTGGCCTTGAACTTACTATGTACACCAGGCCGGCCTTGAACTTGTGGGAATCCTTCTTTTACCTCAGCCTCCTGAGTACTGGGATTACTGGTGTTTACCATCATACCTGGTGAAAAGGGCCTATTTTAAATCCAATAAATAAAAATGCAAAGCCTGGAGATTCATTTTTTTTTTTTGCTACATGCCACAACATCTCTTATTTCAATAAATAAAAACTAATGTGATTGTTCAGCCTTTTTTATCCTTGCCTGGGCCACACTGAGTGAAGAGGCAGTCTTTTTTTTTGGTACCGGGGATTGAACTCGGTCCTTGCACTTGCACAGCAGGTGGCAGAGAGGCAGTCTTATTGGCTACATTTGATAATGTATAAGACAGTTAACACATACAAATGACAAAACTTCCTTTTTTTTTTTGGTAGCAGGGATCAAACTTGGGACCTTGCGCTTGCGAGGCAGGCGCCAGAACCACTGAGCTAAATCCCTGGCCCAAAACTTCCTTTTTAAAAAGAGTATTCTGCTGGGCGTGGTGGCACATACCTGTAATCCCAGTACACAGGAGGCAAAGGCAGGAGGACTGCTGCAGAGTTCAAGCCCAGCTTGAACTACGAAGCAAGACTTTGTCTCAAAAAAAAGTATTTTTAAAACATCAAAGAAAAGTGTCTGATTCAATTGATTGTGTATTTGTGTAGGGCAGACACGGAAGGCAGTCACCACTGCGCCCTACCCATACAGCCCTACCTATGCAGCCCATGCTTGAGCACTGTACAAATGCATCACGTACGACACCACTGAAGAAAAATCACATGGTAAAAATGTATGATCAGGTGGTGCATGCTTGTAATCCCAGCACGCAGGAGACTGAGACAGGAGGATTGCTTCGAGTTTGAGGCCAGAGTAGGCTCCATGGTGAGTTCAAGGCCAGCCTGAATTATACAGCGAGACTCTGTCTCAAAAAAAAAGGCCAGGGATTCAGCTTAGTGGTTCTGCCACCTGCCTTGCAATCGCAAGGTCCCAAGTTCAATCCCCAGTACCAAAAAAGAAAAAATTTATGATCTTCTGGGGCTGCATTACTAGCTGACCAGGGCCGTAGGTTGGTCATACCTGATTTCTATTTTTTATTTATTTTTTTGGTATCAGGGATTGAACTCATGACCTTGTACTTTGGAGGCAGGCACTGGAACCACTGACAGCTGATTTCTAATATTGTAGAAAGCCAATGAACAATGCCAACAAAATTAAATTTAGCAAGGGTCAAAACACAATAGTTGAGGGCCAGGGATTTAGCTCAGTGGTGCTGCTGCCTACCTTGCAAGTGCAAGGTCCTGAGTTTGATCCCCAGTACCAAAAAAAACCACCATAATAGTTGACATAAAATATTAAATATTTTAATTTGATTGGATTTTCTCTATTATTAAACTGAGTAAAAGACCAAACATAAACATTTGTTTTCCCTCAAAACTCCCACACACATTTGCTCTACTCCCATAAACGTACAGTCTGCTAAATGTGTCTTTGTATCTGTTAACACCTAAACTTTACCATTAGAAATACACATTACAGGGCTGGGGATTTAGCTCAGTAGTGCCACTGCCTGCCTTGCAAATGGAAGGTCCTGAGTTACATCATCAGAAGCTGATATCCAAGTACCCTTGGGAGGGCAAAACACAATCACTTATAGATGGTATAATTACACACTCTTACTAGAAGCTACTTCCCCACTGAGCAGGCACCAGCTTCAGGGGACACAGAGCTCAGGGATGGGGCTAATGACCATGCTGGATAACAGAAGGGCACTCAAAAAAAAAAAAAAAAAAAAAAAAACTTGCCAGGTACAGTGATGCTGACCTATAATCCCAGGGCTTGGGAGGCTGAGGCAGGAAGATAACTAAATAGTGAGTTCAAGGCCAGCCTGAGCTAGCAAGATCCTATCCGCACTCCCCCAACCCAAAATCCAAACCAAAAACAGTAAAGAAAAAAAGTGACATTTAATTTAAATTTTCATGCATTAGAGTCTGAACCTGGGCATGATCTCCTTTAAATCCCAAACACAATATGAAAGCAAAAGTTTCCCCTGAATTCTGTACTTACTGGTGGTCCAGACGGAAGTGGAGGCAGCCAGCATGACAGGAAGTGTGGTGGTGGTGGCGGAGGTGGGCCACTGAATTTTAGACCTGGCTATAAAAAATATTTCAAAGAAAAATTTACTAATTTTGATGAAAGAAAAAGGATCCAAAACCAAGAAAAATAATTACCCAGAATATCTGTTTAATACATATTGAAAAGATTAAATGGAATTTCATGTGCCAAAACCTGTGGTCAAATAGACTTCTAGATTTTTCCCATTTCTTCAAATATACACATTTAGGAAGTATAGTCAAGGTAAAGTGGATCTTGGGATTGAAAGTACAACTCTGTGGTACAGTGCTTGCCTAGCAGGTACACAGCCCTAGTTTTCACCCCTAGCACTTCAAAAAACCAGGGTAAGGGGCCGGAGATTTAGCTCAGTGGTGCCACCATCTGCCTCGAAAGCACAAAGTCCCGAGTTTGATTCCCGGTTCCAAAGGGGGAAAAAAAAACCACGGTAGGAAAGATTTATACCTCTCCGGTAAGTCAGAGACTGTGTTTAGTAAGCTACTTCAGTCATAAAAGCTCACATTCTTCCCCTGACTTTCACTGCACAGTGTAAACTTTTCATGGGAGCCCTGGGAATTATATCCACTAACTTAGAGCACATGTTATGAAAACTAGCAACCCTCTCATCTGATGGAAACCACCAGATCAATGAATCATGTATGTGTAAGAGTTTTGGTCATTTTACATTCAGGAAATGAGCAATATACTCTCAATAAGAAAGCCATCCTAGGGGCCGGGGATTTAGCTCAGTGGTTCCACCGCCTGCCTCACAAGCGCAAGGACCTGAGTTCAATCCCTGGTACCAAAAAAAAAAAAGAAAGCCATCACAGGAAATCTTAAGGAAAAGGTTGAGAGAGTCGTGCTTGATTTTTAAAATTTAAATGACTACCACGCCCCCAGGGAAGAAATTACTGCTTCACACAGACATGGATACGCGCCTGTGCTCTAGACTTACTTAGACTATAGTAAAACTTGTTTGTTTTTTTTGGTACCAGGGATCAAACTCGGGACCTTGTGCTTGCGAGGCAGGCAGCGGAACCACTGAGCTAAATCCCATGCCTAAGAAATCACCTTTTTAAAAAAGAGTTTTACGGGCCAGGGATTTAGCTCAGTGGTTCCGCTGCCTGCCTCGCAAGCGCAAGGTCCTGAGTTTGATCCCTGGTGCCAAAAAAAAAGCTGATTTCTGTAATTTATAACCAATAGAGCCATATATGAATCTACATTTTTTTTTAATGCCAGGGATCAAACTCAGGACCTTGATTTTGTGAGGCGGACGTGCCACCACTGAGCTAAATTCCCAGCCCATGAATCTATATTTTAACCTTAGGAAACAATCCAAGACACCATAGGATTTTATCCGCACTAGACTAAACACTATTTTTTTTTTTTTTACATATTTAATACAAGTGACATGGTGAACTATATACCAGATCATCTAGCTGATACAAAAGTATTATAAGGTCTGTAAGTCTTTCAGTATAAACCATTTTGCATTGCTATCTTATTTCCTTTTCAAAGACTTCTCAAGTCAGAAGTGATAACAAACGCCTGTAATCCCAGATGCTCAGAAGAGGCTGAGGCAAGGAGATCCTGAATTTGCAGCCAGCCTGGGCAACACAGACTCGGGTCTCAAACACAATTCCTCCCCCCAAAACATAAAACTGAATTAAAGAGAGCTACAAGTTTCATAGGAAAGCTAAACACCTCAAAGCCTCAGAATTAATTATTTCCTGGAACCTTTTCTGGGGAGTTTACCTTTCTGGGTCCCAATCCCGAACCAGAAATGGGTGGTGGCGGAGGGAAAAAGGAGTTCCAGGGCCTAGCTTTTGACCTGATGTTACTTGGTTTACTTCCCGGAGACTTGGAAGAGTTCTCACTTTCATCCGTTGAAACCTGACTTTCATTTTCATTCTTTCAAAAAAATCAAAACACATTTTTGTTATAAAAAGCATTAAGAAGAACTTAATGCATCTGCAGAAAAGACAACTAGTTACATTGTGTGGTTTCTCATCTAGTCTCTGCTGGGAGGAATGAGAAACTTTCTATCTTTACCTCCTGAGCATTCTGTTCCATGTTGTTAGCTGCCTCACAGGTCTGGGGAAGCAGATCAGACAGAGTTTGCTCCTCTCTGTTTCCATATCCAGTGTAGACCACGACACACATTTCTCTCTTCAAATCAATGGAAGTGATGGTAGCTGGGTAAATGCAGCCATCTTCTGACCAAACGGCAGAGCATCTGTCACCCACTTTCCACTACAAGAGAAATCAGATACCTAAATACATGGTGCAAACTATGACCTTGTTTGGATGAGGGTACAGCACACAGAGAAGTCCCCAGGGATGGATAAAGAAGGCAGAGTGGTATGGTGACAAGGCTTGGGCCAAACCACACAGATCTCCATTCCAACTCTGCAACGTGTACAGTCACAGACAGGGCCTTAGTCACTTAGTCCCTTTACCTGTCTGTTAACCCGAGGTCACAGCCTGCCTTCTGCATTCACTGTGGGGAGCAGGAAGGACAGAAGTGCGCAGTGTCTGGCACCTGGGTCTATTAAGGAGCAGCTGTTCATCCAGTGCTCCTTCTCTTCCCCTTTGTTAATGACTGAGAAAAGCTGACTACTTAAACACTTAAATATTTAGCTTCTAGTTCACTGATCTGAACTAACAAATAACTACCCAGAATTTGTGGCTCTCTGGAATTAACAGTTTGAGTTTTTGAAGAAAGAGAAGAAAACAAAGATGACCCTCTCAGTTTGAAAAGCAAAACACTGCCATTCAGCTTGAGACGCTCAGGTTCTCCTCACACAGCACCATCTCCCTCCTCTCCACCTTCCAAGCAAACACCCCTGCACCGCTCAATCCCACTCAATTCCTCACACTTTCATTAATGACATGCATGTTCCTGAACAACAGCAGGCTTCATAGCTGTTGTGTAAGTTCTATTATTATATGTCAATATGAAACACTGTAATAATAGTTAAGTGAAAGATATGTGACAACTACTTAGCAAGGACAGTAACCACAAATGCTTTCAGGGTTTATATCAGTATTTTAAAATAACCTGTTTCAAGGGAGCTGTGATAGTCTTCTTTTGGCTTTTACTCTTCTTAAAAGGTTTTCTTCTAGGTGTGCCTTTTGGTTTGTCTGAAGTTTCACCTTTTGGTTTATCTGAAATGTCACCATTCTTTAGAGCATACTATGAAAACAGGATTAGAAATGTACATGTCACAGAATGACACATTTAAAAAACATCAAAGCATAACTCAGTTACTACAAAAGCTGACCTCAAGGCCTCACCACCACAGCCTCCGCTTTCTTCGCCATTCTTCGCTACAGGAACTGCTTTTGGGGTGGGGGGTGGGGGTGCTAGGGATTGAACTTTTTTAAAACAAATTAATGTATGGGGCCAGGGATTTAGCTCAGTGGTTCTGTTGCCTGCCCTGCAAGTGCAGGGACCCGAGTTCAATCCCCGGTACCAAAAAACAAACAAAACCAAATTAATGTATGTAATGTATTTACTTATTTATGACAGGGTCTCACTGTGTAGCCCTGGCTGGCCACAAACTCATGGTGATCCTCCTGCCTCAGCCTCTGGAGTGCTGGGATTACAGGTATGTGTCCGTCCCGTGTCATGTCCCCGCCCCGCAGGAACTGCTCTTGAGGCCCTCAGGCATCTGATTATCTGCTTGAAAGATCCTTTTTAGTCAAGTCTCTGTGCTCTCAATTTCTCTGTAACAGCAGATCCTGCTGATCTTCCCCTCCTTCCCCTCATCCACTGACTGCTCCATGGGATCCCCTTAAGTGGCAAGTCACCCAGGCTGGGCTTGAATTTGCAGTCTTCCTGCCTCAGCTTCCCACAGTGCTGGCATTATAGGGATGTGCTACCTCGCCTAGCTACCTCTTTTCTGATACTCATGACACCTTGGATAACACAAAAATGTAAGGCCCCAGTGCTTCTGTGACTTCCTGATCAAGTCTTATACTTAGGCATTCCCAGCAAGAGTTGGTCATCCTTCTTTACCTACTTAAGGCAATTTATTCCTATTACTTCTGCTATAACCTCTATAAAAATAGACTTCCAAAAGCCATTATCTAGCTCTTGATTTTCCCCTTAGTTTGAGCCAGCATTTCCATTTACCAAATTCACATCTTCCTACTCAAACTCAACATGAGTAAAAGTAAACTATCTTTTCTCCAGACTCTATCCTCCTTTTCTTAGACTACTTCCCCCTGCAATATCATCGACTCTATTCCACATTGAGCCCTATTCCAATCTGTATATTAGAGAACTCTTGAGGTAACACTTTCTTAATCAACTTCTAGTGTATAAAAGAAATATTAAAAGTTCTGGAACTCAAGGGCCGGGGATAAATCAGTGGTTCTGCCACCTGTCTTGCAAGCACAAGGTCCCGAGTTTGATTCCTGATACCAAAAAAACCACAAAAAACAAAAGTTCTAGAACTCAGATGCAAGGATAACAGAATTCTGATCCTCACCTCAAGCTACAAGAATGACTATAGGAAGCAACTGAATTTTATACACCTGGTGTTCTGTGTAAATGTGTGCCCTGTGCACTGATCTGGTGCCACATCTTGTGCTCAGCAACACTAAGTATCTCAGACTTTTCGGAAACCAATGTTGGAAACTATGTAAGTATCTTGTGTAAACCATGGAATCAGATTACATCTCCTGAAAGTGTAACATCTTACTCTAGCTGCACTTGACACCCAACTCAACATCTGGGATGATTAAATTAATTGGTGGATGTAGCTCCCTGGTCTTGATTAGCATATGTCAGAATTCCTAGCACTAGAAACACAACAACAAATGAAAATAAAATGTTGCCAGGCATGGTAGTGCATACCTATAACCCCAACAGGCCTGTCTAAAAAAAAAAAGTTGGGAAGCAGCTCAGTCCAAAGGCCCTAGGTTCAATTCCCAGTACCTCCTCCCACCCCCACACAGAATAAACAGTTCATACCTTAAAGGAAGCCACAGCTTTATCGTAAGCTTTTATCAATGCTGTGTCATCCCAGATGTCAGAATCATCACTCTGGGAAGGAATAGAAAGAATTCATATTTAGATAGGTGTTAGTTACTTTTCTCTTGTTGCTGAGACAAAATACCAGAGACCCAAAGTTAAAGGGCAAGGGGTTTATTTGGCTTACAGTTCATAGAGGTTTCAGTCCGTGATCAGCCAACTCTAAGGCAGGGTCAACAAACTGACATGGCAGAGCAGAAACAACATGGCACACACAAGGCAGCAATGGTAACAAGAGGGGTTAGAGGTCTCCCTGCCCCTTTTATCTTATTCAGACTACTTAGAGCAGGTAGCATTCACATCCTTAAGCCTAGTGCCCTTGAGCCTAGCATTGCATCATGAATCAATTCCAGCTTCACATACTCTAGATCAATTCTATGACGACATGAGCCTTTGGGGGACACCTAGATCCAAACCATAAGAATATGTTTCATCAAAAATGTATTGGACAATACCAAGAGCCATCTTAATTTAGCATAACCAAACAGACATCAAGATCTTTAAGACAGGGCCAGGGACTTAGATCAGTGGTTTCACACCTGCTGTGCAAGCACAAGGACCTGAGTTCAATCCCCGGTACCAAAAACAAACAAACAAACAAACAAAAAAGAACTTTAAGACAGGCGTGGCACCACTGAACTAAATCCCCAGCCCAGACATGAAGAAATTTCAAACCTCAGCAGAAACAAAATCCAATTTTAAAAAGGTCAGCCAGGTGTGGTGGTGCTCGCCTGAATCCTAGCACTCAGGAAGCTGAGGAAGGAGGATCACTACAAGTTCGAGGCCACCCTGAATTACACTGTGAGACTGTGCCTCAAAAAACCCAAAAAACCCCCCCAAAACAAAAACAAAAAGGGGGGGGGGATAACTTGAACAGAACCTTTACCAAAGAGGATATATGAATACCAAATAAGCACAATGATCAGTGATCAATATCATTAGTCATTAGGGAAATGCTAATTAAAGCCATAAAATGCCATCACACACCTACAACATCTAAAATTAGTAAGACTGACAGTACCAAATGTTTTCAAGGGCATCAAATGAAAGGAACTTCCATACACTGCTGGATAGAATCCAAAATGGTACACCCACTTAGAAGAATTTGGAAGTTTCTTAAAGACTTAAAATACAGCTGGCCATAGTGGCCCATGCTTGTAGTCCCAGCACTGGGGAGCTGAGGCAGGAGGATCACCAAGAGTTTGAGGCCAGCCTGGGCTACACAGAGTTCAAGGACTAACTGAATTACATAGCAGACCCTATCTCAAGAAAATTAAAAAATAAAAAAGGTTGGAGAATGTAGCTTAGTGGCAAGGGTCTGGGTTCAAATTTTAGTACTGCAAAAGAAAGAAAAAAAGAAAGTTAGACTTAAAAGTACATCTACCCTATGACCTAAGCATTTACCCAAGAACAATGAAAAAGTAAGAGCATTTCCCCCTAAATGTATTATACACTAATAATAGCTGGCCATGGTGGTGCACATCAGTAATCCCAGCTACTCTGGTGGTTGAGGCAGGAAACTCACAGATCGCAGCCCAGCTTGGGCAATTGATGGAGATCCTGCTTCAAAATGAAAATTAAAAAAGGGCTGAGGACATAGATCAGTACTCCCTGGGTTCAATCCCAAGTACCAAAATAAATGAGTAAACATAACTTAAAAACTTCTTTACTTCCTTGCTTGCTCCATCTAATGCCCCATTTCTCCAGGTTCTACTTACAGTAAAGCTCCTTGAAATGGTTGTTCACAAATGTTGCCCTGAACACTCTTCTGCCATTAAAATTTTTTTTCCCTATTAGGGATTGAACATTGAACCTACAGCCTTCACACTGAGTTATATCACCAGCCTTTTCTTTTTTCCAAATAGGGTCTAAGTCATTAAATTGCCCAGGCTGGGCTCAAATTTGAGATCCTCCTTCCTCAGCCTCCTAGAGTGCTGAGATTATAGGCATGTGCCACCACACTTGGCTTCTTCTCTTTAATCAAATTTCACTCCCATATGCTGCACCAAAGATTGGGTTCCTGTTGTACTTTCAGTCTTCCTTCGTCCCCCTTTCAGTACAGCACTGTAAAAAACAACGTCATCTGTTCAACTGTCCAGTACAAGCTCTGAGTTATCCTCGTCATTTCTCTAAAACCTCCTTTTTGGAAGCTACCTTGACTGAGTATATTCAAAGTCCAAACACTGTAGTCTGAGACTACTGATAGTTTAAGTCTGATCATTTCAACAGACTTCCACTGGTTTCCCAGCTTCTCTCTGACCCTGCCCCCGCAACCCCTTGGTCAGGAGAGGACAAATCAAGTTGCAGAGGGTCTCGGCTAAAGCCATCAAGGAGCCCAAGCTGCGAGAGGTCGGAGCTGGCGAGTAGGGGCTCCCAGGAAGGGGAGTGGGAAAAGATGAACATGTGGAGCACGGCCCCACAGTGAGCGAACTGGCTAGGTCCAAGCGTACGGCCAGTGCTTCGAGCGCGCACTGGGCACCGATACAGAGGCTGAGCGGCCTGTGAGATCACCTGGCCTGTACCACGCCGGAACAGCACAGAGTCTTCCTGCTCCGGGACGCAGCCGCCATCGCCGTTGCCGCCCGTCGCCATTGCGAGCCTCTCGCAGGATGAGCGGTGTGGGGCTCAACCTGAGTGACGACTTCCGTCGCCGGGGCTTCTGGGACCGGAAGAGCACGGTGGCCGCAAGGGTGGTTCGGAGGACTCCACACGCTTCGTGCAACTGCTACTGCACTCCCTCTTTGGTCTCGTGGGTTTTCCTTTTCTGCCTCTTTTAATCCTTTGATTTCGCTTTCTTGTATTTTCATAAAGTGATTCCACCCAGTTTTTATTAAAGCAAGATATTTTCTTAGAAAATAATGTTGTATGTAGTTTATAGAGAGTAAGGGCAAGCAATACAATAAACATCCGTCCAGAGGCATAATATAATGGTCTTAAGAGTTTCATATATTTTTTGTTTTATTTCTCCCAGTAAGCTAGTGAATTTAGGGCCTTTTGTTCCTATTTTTTAAATGAGGAAGGCTGGGGATGTAGCTAGTCAGTAGAATGGTTTCCTACCATGCCCCAGGCTCTGGATTCAATCCCCAGCACCACACGCTATATTTAAAATAAAGATGAGGAAGCGAAAGCATTAAGCGTTTATATGCAGCAGAGTTCACGCCTGCAAATTTTTTCCAAATTTAACATTAAGTTAATATCTATTCCTTTAAATCTTTCCTAGTAAATCTTTTTTTTTTTTTTCGGTCCCGGGGACCGAACTCAGTATCTGGCGCTTGCCAGGCACGCGCGGCGCCACTGAGCTACATCCCGGGTGTAGTAAATTTTTGAACATTAAAAAATGGGATCAAGGGCCGGGGATTTAGCTTAGTGGTTTTGCCGCCTGCTGCGCAAGCGTAAGACCCAAGTTCGATCCCCGGTACCCCCTCCCAAAAGGGATCAAATATATATTAAGGATCTTCATTTCCCATGAACATCTTCATCTTTCCATGTTTATCTTTGCATGGGTCATGAATAATTTTCTAGTACAGTACTGTATTCATTTGTTTTAGTATTGGGGATTGAACCTAGGGGGGGCCCTCTCTCCCCTACTCCAACTCCAACCCCGCACAAACTAAGCACAGGCTCTACCACTAAATTACAACCCCTCGTTATTAAGCATCTGTAGTAACCAAATGGCTTTCATGTATGTATTCTCTTTTTTGAAAAGTCCACCAAAGGGCCGGGGATTTAGCTCAGTAGTTTCGCTGCCTGCTGCACAAGCGCAAGGACCCGAGTTCGATCCCCAGTACCAAAAAAAAAAAAAAAAGAAAAGTCCACCAAAGGAAGTTTCAGGGCTCCTCCCTAAATATTTATGGTTTCTTTCTATGTAAGAATTATAAGGTGTTCGAGTGCTTACATAGTGTGAGGCCCTAGGTTCAATCCCAGCACCAAAAACAAATGAACAAGTAAGGGTTGGGGATGTAGGGCAGTGGTAGTGATATGACAAAACTGGTTGGAGAAGTGTGCGGGACTTGTCAATTTCAAGATCTCAAGGCAGAGCCGGATGATTCTGGACCAGTATGTCAAACTTCTGGAGGCCACAGGGAGTGCCCTGTGGTGACTCCTGGGTGCACTTTTTATTTTTGCTCTTTAACTTTACTCTCTTTGTTCGGCCCAAATTCTCTCTGCAGAGCCAGTTTTTCTCTTACCCATTCACACACACCCCTTTTGTATGGGGGGTCGGGGGGACCTTTCGCTTGTGAGGCAGGCTTGCGCCATTGAACTAAATCCCCAAGACAACCCCTTTTGAAATAAACTTTTGGCACTGTTTTTGTTTTGGTTTGGTTTTTGGTTTTGTGAGACAGAGTCTTGCCACGTAGTTCAGGCTCGCCTTGAACTCACTATGCAGCCCAACAGCAATCCTGCTTCAGTCTCCTAAGGGCTGTGATTTTAGGCGTGAACCACCATGCCTGGCCTGTTTTGGGCTCCTCTCATCCAATTCTTTGAGGCAAAAAGGATCTGGAATACTTTTACTTGGTGAGCCATTTCTAAAAGAACTACCAGGCAATAGTAGAGTGCCTGCTTAAAACATGTAACGCCCTGGATTCCATCCCCAGCACACCAAGTGAGGGAGGGAAGAATAGGGTTGATGTTAGTGAAAGAGTACAAAATTAGTAACTTTGTAGAGGTGTTAGCTATTACATATCTGGAATGTGGTGATTCATTTCTTAGTATATAACAAAATATCACTCTTTATGCCTTAAATTTGTACAGATTTTTTAATTGTTTCATTTTTTGGAACTGTGGATTGAACCCAGTTCATGCATCTGTAACAATTTTTTTTTTTTTTTGAGATGGTCTTACTATGCAGTGCAGGCTGACCTCGAACTTGCTATGTAACCCAGGATGTCCTCAGACTTGTGATCCTCCTAGCTCAGCCTTCTGAGTGCTGGGGTTACAGGCATGCACCACCATACCCAGCTTGTACAATTTTTATATGTCAGTAAAACAGCCCAGGGCCAGGGATTTAGCTCAGTGGTGCCAGCACCTGCCTCGAAAGCACAAGGTCCTGAGTTCAAACCCTGGTATCAAAAAAACAAAAACAAAAACAAAAAAACCCCACCCCAGACAGGTGGCACATGCCTGTAAATCCCAGCAGTCTGGGAGGCTGAGGTCAAAGAATTTTGAGTTTGAGGCCAGTCTGTGCTACATAAGGTAGCTAGTTCAAGGCTAGTCTATACCATGTAATGAGACCTTGTCTCAAAAAAAAAAAACAAAAAAAAAACAGGGGGTGGAAGATTTAGCTCAGTGGTTCCACCGCCTGCCTCACATGTACAAGGTCCAGAGTTTGTTCCCCAGTACCAAAAAAAAACCCAAACCAAAATGTCTTAGTCTGACAGGTAGGCACTACTATACTGGACTTGTAGTGTTTTGTTTTGTTTTGGCATGCGAGGCAGGTGGCAGAACCACTGAGCTAAATCCCCAGCCTCGTGGTGGGTTTTTTTGTTTTCCTTGGTGCTGGGGATTGAACCCAGGGTCTCACGTACTAGGCAAGCACTCCACCACTGAGTAACATCCCTGGTTTGGACTACAGCATTTAATTTATGTACTAATCCTGTCATCAGTTGTCCCCATGACCCTGAGTAATTCCTGTGTTTATCATGGCCCTAGTCACAATAGCCAAGTAGAGAATCAGCTTAGATGGCCATTAATGGATAGAGAAAGAACACGTTATATATACACAATGAAGTATTAGTCTGCTCTAAATAAAAATGGAATCAGCTGGGTGTGGTGGTGCACACCTGTAATGCCAGCACTCTGGAAGGCTGAGGCAGGAGGACTGCAAATTTAGGTGCAGTCTGGGCAGCTTCATGACTTAGTGAGATCCTGTCTCAAAATAAAATAAAATAAAAAAGGGATGGGGATATAGCTTAGCCAGAAGGCCCTGTGTTCAATTCCCACTACTGAGAAAAGAACAGAAATCTTATTGTTTGCAAGGAAGTAGATGGAACTGGAAATTATCATTTTATGTTAAATAAACTAGACTCAGAAAGACAATTATATTTCCTTTCCCACATGCAACGTGGAAGTGGTAATGCAGCTCATAGTGCCCCAGGAAGCTCCATGATGGACAAACAGGAGGACCTTGCTGCGGTTGTGCTCTTTTTTTTTTGGTACCGGGGATCGAACTCAGGACCTTGTGCTTGCAAGGCAGGCGCCAGAACCACTGAGCTAAATCCCCGGCCCTGTGCTCATTTTTGACATTATTAAATTCACCATCTCCTTCCCTGCCTTTTTTTTTTCTTTTTGGTGTTGGGGATCAAATCCAGGGCCTTGTGCTTGCTGAACACATGCTGTACCACTAGCTACAACCCCAGCCTAAACTGCCTTTTTTTTTTGATACCAGAGATTGAACTCAGGACCTTGTGCTGGTGAGGCAGGTGGCGCCACCACTGAGCTAAATCCTGGGCCCCTAGGGATTTTAATATAGTCACAATATTGTGCTATCCTTTCATACCCTAAAAGAACCCTGTACCATTTGTCAGACATTCCACTTCCCTCTTCCCCAGCTTCTGGCAACCAATACTCTGCTTTCTGTCTTATCATTATTTATTCTGGAGATTTCAGATAAAAGGAATCACACAGTATGAGCTTTTGGTCTAGCTTCCTTAGTGTAAGGTAGACCGAGATTTAAACCATTTAAAATGGCAGGTTATTTGTTTTAAAAAAAAAGTATTTCTACTTTCAAGGATTTGATTCTTCAGCAAAAGTGAACCTAACACATTTATGTTCTCAAGATATAGATGGGCTAGGACCAGGGGTATTTAGCTCAGAGGCACTGTGCCTGCCTTGCAAGTGCAAGGTCCCCAGTTTGATCCCTAGAACCAAAAAAAAAAAAAGATATGGATGAGTTGGAGGGTGTAGCTTAGTGGTAGGGGGCATGCTTACATGAAGTCCTGGTTTCAATCCTGAGCACTAAAAAAGAAAAAAAAGGCCAGGTAGTACATGTCTTTAATCCCAGTGCTTGAGAGGCTGAGGCAGGAGGACATGAGCTCAAGGCCAGCTGAGGCTACACAGTGAGTTTAAAGGCAGCCTGCACTACATAATGAGATGCTGTCTCAAAAAACAAAACAAAAAAAGAAACGCAAACAAAATATGAAATTATTTTTTTCCTGATCCTATCCAAATTTGAATTGGTATATTTAAAAAAGTGATTTCATGTGATGGATAAAGCATTCAAAACGTGATGAATTTCCAAAGGAATCCATTTCATCAGATTTGAAGACACTTATTATGTACACAGTAGATTTAACTTTATGAACTGCAATAAATTTTCAATTCAATTTTTTTGTCGTTGTTTTTTTGTACCAGAGATAGAACTCAGGACCTTGCTTGCACTTGCAAGGCAGGCGGCGGCACCACTGAGCTAAATCCCCGGCCCAAACTGCAACCAATTTTGAGCATATGAAAATTTGATTTTTTTGTTTGCTTTTTTCTTGAGACAGGGTCTGGCTATGTAGTTCAGCCAGGCCTTGAGCCCAGGCTGGCCTCAAACTCATGACGATCTTTCTGCCTCAGCCTCTGGAGTGCTGGGATTACAGGTGTGCTGGTGGAGTTTTCTCTTCCTTTTTTTTTGTGGTGTTGAGGACCAAACCTGGTGCTTCACAT